ACTTCCATGAAATTCAATTCTTTACGGAGTCAATCACATAAGAATAACACCTGAAACAGAGGGAGAAGAAAGGATAAACCTCGATTAATCTAAAATTTAATTGACTTACAATCTGAAAATGCTAATCGACGGAACGAACAGGACCGCGAACAAGATCTAAGCCAGAAAATCTCGCCGGAATCTCGAACGGAACTGAACAGACCCAACGAATAGAGCCAGCGACCTGAACAGGCTTAAATGGGACTCGATCTCAATAGAAACGTTACTCTAAATGGAACGACGAACTTGAAATTTAGTCGACCCCCAAACGAACTCTCCACGAGCTTTAAACGAACTCCATTGAAGAAACAAACTTCCGTCGCCAGTTTCCGGCGAGTTGAAGAAGAAAAAGGGGTCAGCTTGAAATAAAGGGGGTCTGATTGTTGATGGAGTGTAGAAGCAGATGGGTTTTTGTTTTTCTGTGAGATGGGGTGTGTGAGGAAGATGATGATCTTTAGGGGGTGGGTCTCTTTTTTGCGCAGCTTTTCAGCCTTTTTTCCCAGAGTTTTTTTTTTTGGTCTATTTAGGTGTTAGGTACTATTATCATATAGGATACGGATCAGGTTAGCAGTATGGGCCTAGCAATTATGGGCTAGGTAATTGGTCCAAGACTAGAAAAATGGACTACAAAATTTATAAAGACGGGATAAACCAACCTAAAACTAATTTCTCCTTCTAAAATTATGTACAATTAAAATATAAAACTAATTTTAATTAATTGAACTAAACTATAAAACATAGAACTATTTTTTGTGTTTTCAAGATTATATAAAAATAAAGATAAGGTACTATTTTTGTATATTTTTTATTTAAATTTATGAAAGATACGTAAACTAAAATATTTTTTGTAATTTTTATTTTTTTTGTGTTGAAATAAAGTAAAAGAGTCAAAATTAGCTAAAATAGCGATATTAGGCTTAAACTAAATATTTACATGCTAAAACGGGTGAAATTTCGGGGAGGGTCAAAAATCACATGTCTACAGAGTAGGCATCAAGAAAATTGAGAATCTCATGACCGGCCGTGGCATCGATCATGTGATCGATGTTAGGCAAAGGAAAAGAATCGTTAGGGCAGGTCTTGTTCAAATCCTTGTAGTCTATGCACATTCTAAGCTTATTTTCCTTCTTAGAGACTACCACTACATTTTCTAACCATTCCGGATATTTTACTTCCTGAATGGAGCCTCTTTTGAGAAGTTTGGTTACCTCATCCTTGATGAATGTATGCTTAACCTCAGACTGGGGCCTTTTCTTTTGCTTTACTGGACGGAACTTCGGATCCAATCTCAATCGATGGGTAGTGATCTCTGGTGGGATCCCTGTCATATCGAGATGGGACCAAGCAAAAAAAATCTATGTTATCTAAAAGAAATTGAAGGAGTTTTTTCCTGAGTTGGGGAGTTAATCCCGTGCCCAGGTATACCTTTCGATCAGGCAGATGCTCGATAAGTATGATTTGTTCCAGCTCTTCGACCGTCAACTTCGTTGCATCAGAATCACCGGGGATTATGAAGGTTCGAGGTATCATATAATCATCATTCTCAAAAGTTTCCTTCTCCTCCAATCGGGCCGAGGCCGGTGACTGTGGTTGCTATTTGACTACCTGCTTTCCCTTCGACTACGATCCCTTTATTGATGAAAGCGTCGATGCCGGTACTACTTCGTCAATTGCAAACATTTCTTTGGTGGTGGGTTGTTCATCATACACCGTTTTGATTCCTTTTGATGTTGGGAACTTCAGGACTTGATGAAGCATCGAGGGCACTGCCCTCATGTTATGGATCCAAGGCCTTCCGAGCAGTGCATCGTACCTCATGTCACATTCGATCACATGGAACTTTGTTTCTTGGATGGTCCCGGCCACATTTACTGGCAAAATGATTTCCCCTTTGGTGGTTTCACTTGCCATGTTGAAACCGTTAAGTACTCGAGCTGCGGACACAATTTGATCTTGGAGGTCGAGTTGCTCTACGACCCTTGATCGAATAATGTTTGCCGAGATACCTGGATCAATCGACACACGTTTATCTTGAATTTTATTCATAAGGATAGATATTACCAGTGCATCGTTGTGAGGTTGTTCGATCCCTTCTGCATCTTCGTCGCTGAAAGAAAAGGTTTCTTTTGGTAAGTAGTCCCGAGTTCACTTTTCCCTTGTGATTGTCACCTTGGTGTGTTTAAATACCGGTCCTTGAGGAATATCGACTCCTCCAACGATCATGCGAATCACATGTTGTGGCTCTTCATGCTCGTTCTGTCTATTTGAATCTCTGTTTTTGAAGTGGTTCTTGGCTCGATCACTTAAGAATTCTCAAAGGTTCCCCTTATTGAATAATCGGGCTACTTCCTCTCTTAGCTGTCTGCAATCTTCTATTTATGCAATCTTCTATTTTAAGGTCTGAAGTTATATTCTGACAATCGAGGTGCTTCTTTGGACCTGGTATCTCTATCGAAACCACTCTTGCTCATGAGCCCTCGGGAGCTCTATCCCCGATCATTCCTTCTATCATTTCGAACAGGGTTGCGCCCTGGCCCGTTATTTCTTCAATCTCTACCGTATGGCTGGTATCGGTCTCTGTTCGATCGTGATTCCCCATCAACGTCCCTTTTAACTCTATCCACGGACCTGTTGGGATAAATCAAACCAATCGGACCCCCCAGCTGATCGTCTTCGACCCTAATCTTCGACTGATATCGATTATGCACATCGGACCAGGTGAC